AGGGAATTTAACTCTTGGCAATGGAAGATCTTTTATGGGGTGGACCATGTTTCCAGGCGATGTTGATCAATTAGAGAATTTTCAACTTGTGTATGACAAAAACATATCTGCTTGAAACAAGTTGATCGCTTTAAATGAGGCTCGTTCTAGCATAGTCATTTGTGAGTATAATAATACGGGGGTAATTTATGGCCAAATGAATATTGTTCTCCTGTCTAATTTTACCGGTGTACTCGTGTTTGATTATCCCCTTTCTCATGTTGAAGCTCCAGGAGTTGTGATTAGCTCTAAGGATGCATTAGAAGTGATTAATTATGCAATAAGCGATGACAAGCCCGTTGCAAGTATCAAGTTCAAGCAAACAATTTTAGGCTCCAAGGCTGCATCCATTGTCTCACTAACTTCCTCAAGAGGTCCTTCTCCGAGCTATCCCGGAGTATTGAAGCCGGATGTGATGGCACCCGGATCACACGTTTTAAGTGCTTGGATTCCTTCTCTTAATAAACTGGACACTACAGGGCCAAGAACGGTTTTCTACAATGATTTCAATTTGTTGTCCGGGACATCTGTGGCCTGTGCTCATGCATCAGGCATGGCTGCGCTACTAAAAGGCGTGCATCCAGAATGGAGTCCTGCTGCCATTAGGTCCGCCATGATCACCACCGCGAATCCATTGGACAATACTTTCAATCCGATTCGAGATTATGGAAATAATTTGCAATTTGCTTTTCCTTTAGCGATAGGGGCAGGTCAGATTGATTCTAACCGAGCACTCGATCCAGGTTTGATTTATGATGCAACTCCGCAAGATTATGTCAATCTTTTGTGCTCCACAAATTTTACTAAGAAGCAAATCCTAGCTATTATAAATACAAACAAGTATGATTGTCCAAGGGCCTATTATGACCTCAATTATCCATCATTTATTGCTCTATACCATGATCATGCAAAATGGATGGATCAAAAGTATACGAGAACTTTAACTAATGTTGGTGAAAGTGTTGTGACTTATAAGGCCATGGTCACAGCACCAAATTTTTCTGAAGTTGTCGTTTCTCCAAATGTCTTGGTGTTCATGAAGAAGCATGAGAGAAAATCCTACAATTTGACAATCAAGTACAAAGGCAACATGGAACGGAGAGTTTCATCTGGTTCACTTGTTTGGGTTGAAGATAATGGAAAGCACACGGTGAGGAGTCCAATTGTCGTTTCGCCTTTGGTGTTTGCTTAAGTACTCCAGTTGTTATCGGATTCCATCTTAAAATTTTGAAGGAAGAAAAAAAAGAAATAAATCTATACGACTAGTATTTCAGTTTATTCACTCTCTTTTACGATATTATTATGACTTATGAGAAATATTTGAAAAAAAAAACAAAAAAAGAATAAACTATGTACGTTCTATAAAGTTGCAGTGTCATTTCCTTTTCTTCTGCTTTTTTTTTTTTTTTTTTTTTCCGTTAAGCTTGGTATTCAAGATTTCCACTGACTCCATAAATGGTCCATTGATCGGAGTCTCTCTCAACAATTGGGCCTCAACAAATGAATTTGATTAGGATTCCAATTTGTGAAGTGGAGAATTTAGTGGAACGTGGTCACTGAAACTTTCTAAATTTAATGAACGATAAATTATTCGAGGAAACGAGTTTATCTTGTTATGCATATGATATGAGATTCAGGCAAGAACACGGAAACAGATAATGGAGGAAATAAATATCATTTATCAATGTGTAAAACGACTCATTCGATCGGTCGATCCCAAGCAATTAAGTAAAACCATATGTTAATTGGTACTAAAAAAGAAACCATCTTATTTGTTATGGTAAAAACAGAGTAGGGAATATTTGAACTCTGAGCACCATGTTATTCTGCTAAATAAAAACTACAAATGAAAGATAGAAATTGATGATAATTAATAATTCTATCTATCAAAGGAAGCTGATGCAACGGAATGGAGAAATTAAGTCAAGATCCATAGTAAAGAAGAGGAACCCTCAAAATTAGAGAGAAAACGCAATTTTAGTTTTCAGTATTACAATAATCAGATCTGATCCACCACAATAGCAAATTATATGACTTTCTTTAATCCACACACAAACGATAACATAAAAAATTAAGACAAAGGTCATACTAAACAAATAACGATAAACGAATAAAAACAAAATTAAAGCTAAATTGATCAACTAAAACAAACGACAATGCAACTAAAACTAACTACAAGAACTAAAACTGAAACGCTATTCTCTGTAAACATCTTCAGCAAACTATACATGGATAAGAACCTAAACCTTGAAAATCCAATGTAAATAGCGTCTTGCACTGAATCTACTGATATCAGAGTACCAACGGTAGGGGTTATTCACATGACTGGGATCTCAAAAAATTCATGAGTGGTAAGAAGTTCATTTTTAAAGTTGGGGGTTAAACTTATAACTTAAAACGAAAGCAAATTCAAGGGAGATATATGCCCGTTTAGTTTGTTGATTTGAGTTTAGATGTGACTTTATGTAAGAGTTTTTTACTGTAGCAAAAAAAGTTAGATGTGACTGTTTCTGATAACCTTTTATTGTAGCAAAACTCAAATTCTAAATTCGAATCGGTAAAATGAACGAGACTGAAATTAACAATAGTAAGTATCTATATGCGCGTCAACATGACATCAATTCTTTCATCATACTTTCTTGCGAGAGAGATTCCACATCGCCTGGGTAAAAGATTCTATACGAAAGGATATTGGAATCTTCCCCCGCCCTCCCGAATCTATCTCAAGTAAATGCATACGCGGGGCCCACGGATCATGAGATCAACAACCCAAATGTGTGGAATTGCATTAATCATTAAGGCCTCGTTCATTTTACCGATTCGAGTTTTCAGTTTTAGATTTCTACAGTAAAAAGTTCTCAGAAAATATCACATCTAACTTTTTCTACTACAGTGAAAAGTTTTCACAAAATGTCACATCTCAGTTTGAATTGAAAACTCGAATCCGCGAAGTGAACGAGACCTAAGGTTCGTTTGGTATAAGGGTTTAAATTAAGGTGATTTTAGTTTTGATTTTAGAACAAAAACTATGATTCATGATTTTGAGTTCAAATCATAATTCTGAAACCAGAACTAGAATCAGGAGTTTAAACCACCCAAAACTAAGGGGGTGCTTTTAGAATCAGGGGTTATTCATGGTTCAAAACATCACATCAAGGTTCAAACCTTGAATCAGAACCATCCTAACCAAATACTGATTCTGAGTGAGTCAATCAGAACTACTTTTTATTTTTTGTAAACAGACAATGGTTCTGAATCAGAATCATGATTCGGGGTTCAAAACCCTTACACCAAATAACACCTAAGAGATTATGAGATTGAAATATAAAAAAATAAAAAATAAAAAAGTGGGGGAAAAGAAAGAAAAAAAATTAATGTATTTGGTCAAACTGTTCTCTTTCCATTTTCTTTCTAAAGTTGAAAGACTAAGGACTCGTTCAGTTCGCGGATTCGAGTTTTTAATTTGAGCTGAGATGCGATTTTATGTATGAGTTTTTAACTGTAGCAGAAAAAGTTAGATGTGACTTTTATAAGAGCTTTTAACTATAACAAAATTGGAATTGAAAATTCAAATCGGTAAAATAAACGGAGCTTAAAAATGATAGACCTTTTTGGATTTACAGCTTTCTTAATTCCAAATGTCCTCTTACAAACAATTCAAAATTGTCTTTTCTTCTCCAAAATCCTCTTATAATTTTCCCTCCTTTTTCACTCTAACAAACATAGGGTTGTTATCTTTTAGTAGGAATCATAGAAATAAAAAGAAATAAAGGAAAATACATTCACTCTAACAAACATAGGGTTGTTATCTTTTAGTAGGAATCATAGAAATAAAAAGAAATAAAGGAAAATACATTCACTCTAACAAACATAGGGTTGTTATCTTTAGTAGGAATCATAGAAATAAAAAGAAATAAAGGAAAATACATAGATAAAAGAAGTAAAATTAAAAAGAACTTTCTTTTACGTTGTTTAATAGAAGAAAAAAAAATAAAATGTCAAATCTAATGTATTTGATAATAATACTTTTATGCAAATAAAAAAGTTAATAAAAAAGTTACAAGTAATTAAGATTTTGTTAGCTAAAATTTTTTCTTTCTCATTTTCTTTTTACTAGACGACCCAAGATTCTCTTTCCAAATCTGACAAAATCATCTCTAATTTCTTTCCTGATCTTCCTTTTCACATGATCAAATATAAACTAATGTGCAAGAAAGAAGTAAGGTTAGGAGAAAAGACTCTACAAAATCCGTACAACTCTCATGTTTATCACGGTGATTTTGACCGGCGACATTGACAATAATTAGAATAAATTCACAACAATCTGCACACTTTTTTCAACAGAAAAGTATTACCATTCACTTGATGTTCTAATTACGTCCCAAATTTTCGCTGACTCAAAAGTTGTCACAAAGGGATTCATTGTTGAATTGATTGGTAAATGACAATGAGCCACTTAAAGTCGGTCGCACTTTCACGTAAATGGTCCATTCAATCCCCCCCACATGGGGTAACCCTTGCAAGCTTTGCACAGTGAAAAGCCAAATATGACTAAGAGAGTAAAGAAGATGGAACAGCATCAATCTTGTACATTTCTTCTTCTTTGTTAGCTATTTTAAATTTTCTATACAATTGAGGGCACATGGTGGGCTCTAAACTACAAGGCAGAGAAATTTTGTCTAGCGTCAAGTTTAGCCAAAATGCTCCTCTCTTCGCGGACAAAGTTCAAATTAATCAAACCCGTACACAATGTTGGAATAATTCTTAGTAACACCCTCGTTGAGGGTAACAAAGAAAAATGCAAATAATAGGTGGTAATCACAAAACTAACTCTAATTTATCTCGTTAGAATCAATATATTGAGATCTATAAATCGTTTGTATTTCTCTTCTATACATTATAATGTCGAATATATATGTGAAATTAAGTTAAAATACAAAGTTATAGTAGTATTTGATGGATATACATATAGACATGTGTGTCTGTTACAATTACAGGAGATTATTATTGATTGCACGTCTTCCACTTGCTTTGGCGTGCGTCGAGTGCACCATGCTTGCGTGTGGCGTTGCGGTCCATGCAATTGATGAGGGTGTCATATGTGTTGGTATATTGCCTTTGTCCACTATTCTGATCCCTATCAAACAAAACACAACAAGATGAGGAGATCAACGGTTCTGATTTCTTCTTATTCAGCTCCACTAATGTCTTTGGACTTGGTATACTAATTAAGTGGTCAACGCGACCTCTCGGTAGCAGGAGGGCTGTACGTGCGGGCGGCCAATGCGGTTTGGTTTTTTTCAATATGGCCGGGTATAAGCTAAATTGCGGACCGCCTGTTCACCTGCGGGTGAGTTGAAACCGCGAGTTGACGGGGTGGTGGTGTGACATATTTGTCGTGAACAAGACGAGTTGACGGATTTTTTGTGCACCCTTGGGTAGTACACAAACTCTCTTTTCTTTTTTCGTCATAGAACCAATAATAAAAAGTTATTACATTTAGGCGGAAATTGTTTCGGGTCAAGTAATCCACAACATGCATGTCATAAATCATGGAGGGTCCCAACTCCCAAACGTCGACCCAAAGATACCCAACGAAATAGTGCGAAAAACTAAAGGTGATCAAGAATCTCTCAGGTTCCCATACCTCTTGATAGTTAATCATTTACTTATATAAGTACACCAAACTTTACAACTTCCTATTCCAAAAATTATCCTCTTCCATTAGCTCATCATCCATGGCTTCTCATCATGCCAGAACTCCCTTGCATAATTACCATTTGTACTTCCTCTCCTTCCTCGCCCTCTCACGCCTCGTCTCGGCTCAAACCGAGAATTACATTATCCATATGGACTTATCAACTATGCCTAAAGCCTTTGCCAATCACCATTCTTGGTACTCAGCCACATTAGCCACTCTATCAAAAACTGTTCCAAAAACAATCTCTTTAGACCTCTCCTCTAAGCTCATCTATAGCTACACTCACGTTATAAACGGCTTCAGCGCAAGCCTAACACCTTCTGAGCTAGAAGCCGTAAAGGGATCTCCAGGCTACATTTCATCGATGAGAGACTTACCTGTGAAAGTTGACACGACTCACTCTTTTAAATTCCTCGGCCTCAATTCCAACTCTGGTGCGTGGCGGGAATCGAATTACGGCGAAAACGTCATAATCGGGTTGGTCGACACCGGAGTATGGCCCGAGAGCGCGAGCTTCAACGACGATGGAATGTCGGAGATTCCGTCCCGTTGGAAGGGAGAATGTGAGACCGGCACGCAATTCAACTCCTCATTGTGCAACAAGAAGCTAATCGGAGCTCGGATCTTCAACAAGGGTTTGCTCGCGAAGTATCCCAACACAACAATCGCGATGAACTCCACGCGCGACACCTCCGGCCACGGGACGCACACGTCCACGACTGCAGCCGGGAACTTCGTTGACGGCGCGTCATACTTCGGGTACGCCTCCGGGACCGCGAGGGGCGTGGCACCACGCGCGCACGTAGCCATGTACAAGGCACTATGGGAGGAAGGAGGTTACACGTCCGACATAATCGCCGCAATCGACCAAGCAATAAACGACGGCGTTGACGTCCTGTCCTTGTCGTTTGGACTTGACGGCGTCCCTTTGTATAAAGACCCCGTCGCAATAGCCACATTTTCGGCGTTGGAGAAGGGCGTTTTCGTCTCTACGTCAGCCGGTAACGAAGGTCCGTTTTATGGCTCCTTGCATAACGGAATTCCTTGGGTCTTGACTGTCGCAGCCGGTACACTGGACCGTGACTTTTACGGAGTTTTAAATCTTGGGAACGGCGTTTCAATCTCGGGAGCTTCTCTTTACCCGGGGAATTTTATGAAGACACGTGTTCCAATAGTTTTCATGGGCAGTTGCAAAAATCCGAAGAAGTTGAAGAAAATTGGGAGAAAAATCGTCGTTTGCCAAGACAAGAACGTCGATACGTTGAGCACGCAGTATGGGAATCTAGAGGATGCGAAAGTCTTCGGAGGTGTTTTCATCACTAACAATACCGACTTGGAGGAATTTGTGCAGAGCTCGTACCCGGCGATCTTTGTCTCCCCGGAAGACGGCGAGGCTCTAAAGAACTACATAAAGGCCGACGCGCAGCCGAAAGCGATGATGTCCTTTCGCAACACGGTGCTCGGGACAAAGCCGGCTCCAAAGGCCACCCTTTACACCTCCCGAGGGCCGTCTCCGAGCTGTCCGGCCATATTGAAGCCGGACATAATGGCTCCGGGGTCGTTAATCCTGGCGGCGTGGCCTGCGAACACTTCGGCCACAGAAGCCGACGGCCGACCGCTTTACAGCCAGTTCAACCTCCTTTCGGGTACGTCGATGGCTTGCCCCCATGCAGCCGGAGTGGCGGCCCTCGTGTTAGGCGCACGCCCCGAGTGGGGCCCAGCCGCCATACGCTCCGCCTTGATGACATCATCCGACGTGTACGACAACACTCTTAGCCCCATAAAAGACATCGGTTTCAACAACCAACCGGCGACTCCGCTGGCCATAGGGTCCGGTCATATTAACCCCAACAAGGCCTTGGACCCTGGACTTATTTACGACGTTGAGATTCAAGATTACGTGAACGTTCTTTGCGCTTTGAACTACACTGTGGAACACATCAAAGTCATAACCAAGTCATCGTCTTTGGTTGATTGCTCAAAGCCGTCGTTGGATCTAAACTACCCTTCTTTCATCGCCTTTTTCAATGCGAACGACTCGAAGTCCGACGCAAAAACTGTGAAGGATTTCCAAAGGACGGTGACTAATGTGGGTGAAGGAAAATCAACCTACATTGCCAGTGTCACATCCATGGAAGGGTTAAAAGTTAATGTCGTTCCTAAGAAGTTGGTGTTTAAAGAGAAGAACGAGAAGAAGAAGTTCAAACTTAGTATAGAAGGTCCGAGAATGATGAAACAGAGGGTGGTTTTCGGTTATCTGACTTGGGTGGATAACGATAACAAACATGTGGTCAGAAGCCCCATAGTGGCCACGAACCTCGACTCCACGGCAGTGTCGTAGAGAGCAGAACAGGAATACAACTCTGGACCTGCTTCTACACTATCATTTCTCTCTCTTTGCTAAATAAAATCGACTTTACTAGACATGGTATATCGGCTAAACGGTCCGTGATAGATCAGGTCATCCAGCTTATTGGATAGGGGTTTTTTTTTTTTTTTTTTACAAAATAAAAAGGAAAAAAATGTATGGTTGTAACGCTGTAACTTGTTAAATCATAGAGTCGTGGAAAAAGGAGACAAATAAACAAAAAAAGTTTCTGAATCATTGTATTGTGAGGATAGACAAGAATATAATTGTTGATTATTCTGTTTCACGATGAGCTCGAGTGGGTAGCCCAAAATTTCAACCATTTGGGTAGATTTTTCAAAATCTCTTTAACTAGATGAATTATTGATCAGTGACAAAAGTAATAATTAATGTTCGCTATAGTACAAATAGCGTAAATCAAACGAATATTTACTATTAATTGTAAGAAATGGCTAGATAGTTTCCATATTGTATTAAGAGTCATATGCAGTCTCCTGCTCGTTTCCATATTGACACGTCAATATCATTGAATAATTAAGGTAAAGTTATTTTATTCATTTCTTCTGCTGGAAAATTAAGGTAAAGTTTTAATGAATGCCCTTCTAGAATATTAATTAATGCATGATTACTATCTATAACGCTACGACAGAAAGTATACCAACAATTATCACCAATCAACTTATATAAATTAATGTATGAAGCTAATTACGTACTTTGAAATATACATGTGATTTTTAGTTTTCCTATCACCGTTCCTAACTGCTTAGGAAAATTTAAACGCCAGTAATTTTTTTTTCTTGGAAAGGATATTGCATTTAATTAAAAACTGATAGATAGTCATCTCGGTACAATGTTAATGATTCATTAGAGAGACAGACGCACGCTTGAGATTTAAAAATAGAAAAACACATTGGCACACTAATAATGAGCACACATAAAGCTCGAATGGAGGAAACTCCTCCTATTAAGATAGGCTTTTGAGTGTTAGATGGACAGATTACTAAACCCAATAAAAATGGAACATTTATACGACATAGAAAAAATACTAACTGAACCAAAACAACCCTATCAGGAGATATACAAACGGCAATATTTGAAAAATTATAGAAAATATAGTTTAGGTGTATTCCCCGTATATATATATATATACTAAACCCAATAAAAATGGAACATTTATACGACATAGAAAAAATACTAACTGAACCAAAACAACCCTATCAGGAGATATACAAACGGCAATATTTGAAAAATTATAGAAAATATAGTTTAGGTGTATTCCCCGTATATATATATATATATATATATATATATATATATAAATCGTTGTTG